ATGTTAATTTTAACACACAAAATACTGGACCTATTCGAACAACAGTTGATACTGTGTGGAATATTGTCACTAACCCGGTTTATTACACACCAAAATGTTAATTTTAACACACAAAATACTGGACCTATTCGAACAACAGTTGATACTGTGTGGAATATTGTCACTAACCCGGTTTATTACACACCAAAATCTTAATTTTAACACACAAAATACTGGACCTATTCGAACAACAGTTGATACTGTGTGGAATATTGTCACTAACCCAGTTTATTACACACCAAAATCTTAATTTTAACACACAAAATACTGGACCTATTCGAACAACAGTTGATACTGTGTGGAATATTGTCACTAACCCAGTTTATTACACACCAAAATGTTAATTTTAACACAAAATACTGGACTTATACCTACATCAGTTGGTGCTGTGTGGAATATTGTCACTAACCCAGTTTATTACACACCAAAATCTTAATTTTAACACACAAAATACTGGACCTATACCAACAACAGTTGATACTGTGTGGAATATTGTCACTAATCTAGTTTATTACAGACCAAAATGTTAATTTTAACACACAAAATACTGGACCTATACCAACAACAGTTGGTACTGTGTGGAATATTGTCACTAACCAGGTTTATTATACACCAATATTTTAACACACAAAATACTGGACCTATACCAACAACAGTTGGTACTGTGTGGAATATTGTCACTAACCAGGTTTATTATACACCAATATTTTAACACACAAAATACCGGACCTATACCAACAACAGTTGATGCTGTGTGGAATATTGTCACTAACCAGGTTTATTATACACCAATATTTTAACACACAAAATACCGGACCTATACCAACAACTGTTGATGCTGTGTGGAATATTGTCACTAACCAGGTTTATTATACATCGATATATTAACACACAAAATACTGGACCTATACCAACAACATCTGATGCTGTGTGGAATATTGTCATTAATGTGGTTTACTTTATTATGTACTAAAATCATAATATTAATGCACACTAAAAGTACTGGACCTACAACAATATCTGAGCCCTGTGGAGTCTTGTTTCTAAGTACTACATTATCACAAAAAAAAAACAATTTTATAATGCCTAAACTCTTGGCATCAACATCTGATGCCACATACTGTACTGTCATTGTCTTGATTCATTTCAGTGAGAATTTTTACTTTCAACAAAAAAAAAATTATCAAATGCCTTTGTAGGACTGTGACTTAAAACTAGTGTGAAAAATAATTGGACATCACTAAAAACAAATATAGTATACTTATTATTTAAGGCGCAACTAGCATTTTTTTATTATCAGACCAAAGTAGAGATGCTTTTCTAGTTCTTATCAAACTTTAAAATAGATGTGTTATTTCACTGTAAGGATATGTTTTTACTTATTGTGGGTGGCTTCATTTGAGCATTTAGAAATTATCACCGGAAGAGCAAAATTGGTAAGTTGAGTAACAACAATTAGAAACAAAGTTAAAACAATAACTTACAAATGTCACAGAGTGTTACTGCAATATCTTGCAACATTATGGCTGTCTTGGTAAAGGTATTTAAGACAGTGAGGCCAGTACAGAGAATTCTGTTCATTTCCTTGAAAGATTAAAGTCGCCATTTTTTCAAATAACAAAATTCTAATTTTTACTTGGTCTTTCACTGTTATAATTTTAACAAAAACATCAAATAATGCTATCCAGATGACACACTAAACATGCATAATTTACTTGAGCCAAGCTGATTCGTCTACAAGTATAATCGTTTCATAATATGGTAAGAAATTGCAGTTAATCTAATCAAAAATATTTCCTTCTGTTTTTTTCAACAAGATGGAAGAATTATGAAACTAAACTAGCACTAGTTTGTTTTTCAACTCTGGAGTTTTAATCGCATATTGACAGAAGTGATTGTTGTATTGTATCAATGAAGAATCCAAACTCATCGTCTTAAGGCTTATTCAAACCTTGTCATTTATCTGTCTAGAATGGAAATAGCTACTACTACAGTGCAATCCACTCATAAAGTATCAAAATATAAACCTCTTTTGATCCTTCTATTAAAAAAAAGTTCATTATTCTATACTGCAACCTTAACCCTCATCAGCACATCTGGGGTCCGCATGGATCCCAACGACTTTCTTGGTTGTATATCTTTTTACACAATCATTGCAAATTTCTATCAATTCAT